TAAATGATGTAACTTTAAATGCCATTGTCTGCATTTAAGTCACGAAGCTGATTTAGAATACGTTATATGTGAATTCTTCTTAAAATTATCTTATTATATTGTGCGTATTTAAATATTTAAATTATATAATTATACTAGTGACCTGCTCTAGGTTTGATAGTGCCATCGCTACATCCACTTCATTACCCTCTATAGGTTCTTCTCGATTTCCTAACATATCTACTCTTCAGCATAGAATATAGAATACGTTAAGCTTTTGCTCCAATGTTGTGCGGAAGGATTTAACAGTTAAGAAAAAGGGTTTCATATCTGTACATATAATAAAATTGTACCTAAGTAGAATCTGTACATTAAATATTTTTTGGAAAATCTTATTGAAGTAGACATTATTATCGATACAGAGTCCGAATCTATAGTTTTTAGAATTTTTGTCTGTCTGTCAGTCCGTCCGTCCGTCCGTCCGTCCGTCCGTCCGTCCGTCTGTCCGTCTGTCTGTCTGTCTGTCTGTCTGTCTGTTACCGCAGAAAACCACTGGACAGATTTTGATGAAATTTTGTATGATGATAGCTGGTTATCCGGGTCAACATATAGGATACTTTTTACCGCGGGAAACTATCTCATTTCTAAGAAAAAATACAAAAACTGCAATGTAAGAGTATACTAATATGTAAAAACTAAGGATTTGGTTTTTGGTTATCTGAACGCGGGCGGAGCCGCGGGCAATGCTAGTTTGTTTATAAAAACAATTTAAGTCCTGGAAGACATAAACGTCACGCTCAGTTTATTAGTTTTGATCGATTTCAAAAAAGAAGAGGTTTTTCAATTCATGTATCTTTGCAAATTTGGGAGGATAAACATTTTTTTTAGTTATTCCTCACGTGTGTTTCTATATAAAGTTTAAAAGAAGCTGACCTCCTTCGGGTTTTAATTTGTTTTTAATTTATTAAAGCGATCCGTGGCAGTTACGTAGTACTTATTTTAATTAGATAGATAAAATAGCTATAAATGTTAAGCTCGCCTGGGGAACAATTGTACGGCATTCAAACGCGCTTTTATTAGTTTCATTAATTGTAACTACGTACCTATATAATCGAATCTTGGAAGTCGGTTTCAACCTCCTTCTAATTATCGTATCGACTTGTGTGCTTTATAAGTATATGAGATCCGGACGAAAATACAATAATTTCATTCTATCGAACTAATTTTATAAGGGAGTCAGGAGGCGGATATGATGCATCACTTTAAATTTTAATGTCTCTTAAAAATAAAATCTTCAAAGAGCCCAAACATTTATTTTGTTTTGGCAAGGTTCGTCAAAATCGATCGACAATTTTTAAGAAGATTTTTACATAGTCATGGTCAAAGATAAAGTTAGATTTAAAGCGCTTATTCATAAAAGCTTGGACAGTTATTTATAATTTTGTTATTGAGAAAACAAACTTCGTATATCAGAAAACCACGTTATATTTTTTTATAAAACTCACGTAGCAATATTTAAGTAATTTTATTTGACCGCTAAAACGTTGTAATTGACTAAGGCCAATAGCCTCTATTACTTAACGTACGATGTTAATTTACACCGTAGTTAATGGAACAGATAGTAATAATTATTCAATCATTATTTACAGTTTTAATGATGACATACATAAATATGCTATTCATAAAGAAATATAAATAGAATGTTCAATTAAATAACATTTGAATCTTGATTTTAAAATTCCAAGAGATTTGTCGTTACTTTTTTTTAAATATAAGTGAATATCTTAATATCAACTAAGATAACATATTATTAGATAGAGATCTTTATTATAGTTAAGAAATACTTTCCATAATAAGTTCTCTTTTTCTTCATCCTGAAGGATTTTACCTTGTGGGATATACAGGATTGATCTAACGATATACATAATTGTAAAACAATGAAACACTTTTCCTGATATAATCGTTATATTGACAGTAATTAATAAAATTCATATACATAACAGAAAATCATTCGTCCCGCCCAAACGTCAACCAATATATCTTCGTCGTCATACTTTTCCTGCCTGCCTGGCACCTGCGTAGACGAACACCACAGAGGTTGTACGAAGGCGTACTTGATGTCTTCGAATAAACTAGCAGCGTAACATAATATCTACATATTTCTTTCTTCTTTTGCGTTTTAAATTTAGTTAATGTATTAGGTCCAATGTACTTAGTTCAGGTAACCATTTCAGTATCAACATAAAATTCAGATAGCGTTTATGCGGGAAGAGAACCCGCAATATCCGGTATCTACTGATAGGTGACATTCGTGAATGTCTATCAAAAACGACTTGTAGTGATGAATAAAATACATACTTTCAAAAATTTTGTATTTTGTTAAAATCAGATTTAGCAAAAAATTAAAAATTAAAAAATTAAAAAGCATTAATATGATCTAATCAAAACCCTATAATACTAATAAGCTATATAATTTGCTTTGTAGACTAACGAAATATATCTTAATACCTTAAAGGCACACGAAAAATAGTTTTTTTTTTTCATTTATTAAAAAAAAATAGTAGTTATCGAGAACATGTCACGTAGTATATAATATATTTTAATTAACGTTTTAACGTTTAGTATAGATTTCTCAGAGATGAGATATTTTCCCGTGGTAAAAGTATTCTATATGTTGACCCGGATAACCAGCTATCACCATACCAAATTTTAACAAAATCCCTCCAGTGGTTTTTCCGTGATACGGTAACAGACAAACAGACAGACAGACAGACAGACAAAAATTCTAAAAACTATAGATTCGGACTCTGTATTGATAATAATGTCTATTTCATTAAGATTTTCCAAAAAATATCTATGTACAGATTCGGTTTAGTTACAATTTTATTATATAAAATAGATTATAAATAACTGTTTTTCCACTTTATTGGATGAAGAATAGATTGACACCCTAACAATGGCGAGGTATGATATCAATCGATAACTGTATCGTGAACTGTGGGCTTCTTAACCTAGAAACGACAACGAATATGAAGGTAGAACATAGCTTCACGCTACATAGGTCATGGTGACATCTTCCTTTGTTTTTCATTTAAAGCTGATATGATATGTACATAATATCCTTGTAAGAATGTGTGAGACTTATATTTACTAAAACTTAGTATAAACCTGTTTAACGATACCAGACATCTTTTCCCATCCATCCCATTAATTAGTATTACACAGAAAATTGAATTAATTGGGATTTATTCTATTGTAGAACACATGTCATATAACTAATATAACTAAACTGCCGCGGTGGTGTCTAGCATGTACGGCTGTACACCCGGAGGTCCTGGGTTCGAGTCCCGGGTCGGGCATTGTTTAGTTATTGAGTCTTTCTGTATAGTAAGTCTCAGTAACAGCCCGGAGTTGGGAAGTTGGCGGTGTTTCACCCCCGTGCCTCGGAGAGCACGTAAAGCCGTCGGTCCTGCGCCTTAACTCTCACTGGTCGTGTCGAGCAGTTGTCCCACCGGAGTATGAGAGTGACAGGAATAGAGAGTGCACTTGTGTCTGTGCGTACACTTGTGCACTATAATATCTCCTGCGTAGTTGGCTAGTCTCAATAAGATTGGCCGCCGTGGCCGGAATCGGTCAGGAGAACATCATCATAACTAAACGCGTCATGATTATTGCTATTTACTTATATGTATATATCGGATACTATTTAAAAAGCCTAGACTCGATAAGCATTTATGAATATAGTTATATTATTATTATTAAGATATATTTTAAGATTATAAAAAAAAATATATAGTAGGCAAGTTTCTCACAGCTATTCGTTAAGCATTAAAATAGACGGCAAAAACAGGTAAATCGAATTCAACAAAGCTCCAAGTTTCCTGACGCAAGTATTTCGTAACTATTGAAGCGGTGAATGCACTTGCGAATCGTACTGGCACGTCCAAGATCCGATGTTATTAGCAACACAATCACGAATTCGGCCCACGAACCATAACTTAATTCATTAAATATACGCCTATTTTAGGTTAAAAGTTATTAGAAAACTCCCACTTGCCCCGAAAATACAAATTAAATACTCTAGCTCTAATAAATCTAAAATCAGATTTCATTATTGAAAATATAATTAATAGTTACATTATAAATTACTTTGCTGGTCTAAGCGTAAACATATGTACAGGATATATGTCTTCCGGTAAACCTGCCTGTAAATCTGTCCATACTAAGTGAAGATTAGCTTCATTAAAAATACACCTCATCACCTTGAGAGGACGAGTTACTGATGAGTCATCTTCATCGTATTCTACTTCATCAGACGAAGCGATATTCTCTTTTATTACAATTACACCATTATTCGCCAGAGATTTGCTACATCTCTCCAAAAAGTTAATTAAATCGTAGTCTCTTAAGTGCCCCAGCACCCACTGGCACCAAATCACATCGTATTTTTTTTGCGGTTTAAAATGTTGAAGACCTATTTGGTATAGTGTTCCTAATTTAACATTATTTTCACCGATCGATTGTTTGGCAGTGTTAATGAACTTTTTATCTTGTTCCACTAAATCAACCTTCAGGAAATAAGGCATTAAAAGGTTTTTGCTCACTCTTCCAATGCCTGCGCCGCAATCCAAGGCCAATTTTGTATCCGGTGGATTATTGGACGACAGTATATGGTTTAAAAACTGTTTCGATCCTTCAATATCAATATCAGAAATAAAGCCATATCCGCCGAGCACTCCGTCTATTGTAGCTGGAATATTTGCCCAGTAATTTGCTGCTTTCTTATAAAATTCACTGTCACTCATTATATAAATGCCTTGACTTTGTCTCAATATTCTCATCATTATTGATTATTGCCTGACAGTATTTTTTATCGTGAATTTTGAACGGCCTTGTATGTTATGCATCAGAATATGAAATTTTGCATTAATTTTACCTCTATTTTATCTATAAAATTACTTAATATATAAAATAATTAAACGTATAAAAATATTTAACTTTATTTTTTTTTATTTTTACAGGCACTAATAGCAGCAGTAAATGAGACGAGTGAAGATGATATTCGTGATGCTTTGAAGGCGCAGACGGAGCAGCAGCTCGCGTTGGTACCTCGAGGACCTACCCTCGTAAAAGATACCGTTGCTTATAACACTACTATTACCACTGATGATACGGTAAATATTGTTTATTACAATTTCTTCGTTATTTTATGTGAATTATATACATAGGTTCGTAAAATTACATAAATCAGCTGTCGAGCTCCCGCTTGGATTTTGACTTCACTGCACCCTTTGCCAATCCCAAAACTGCAATATATATTCCGCAGGAATTTGTCAATTTTAATTTTTGATAGAGTAATCAAAATCGGCGGAGCCGTCCAGAGATTAGCAAATGTTAACGAACAGGTAGAAAACCTGGTGTGCTTTTCTATCTATCTGGTGTAGAGATATCGGTTTTGTGCAATTAAATTTTATTTGAAATTGTAGAAAGATAAAATGTCTGATACAATATAAAAATACACACAAAGTATACAATACGTGTAAATAACTTATAAATAAAATTAAAATATACATACAAAAATTTTATATTTCTTTATGATATCATAATTTTCCGAACAATTTTTCCAATTTCTTGACCTCATTAAAACTATTACGAACGTTTAAAGAAATAGCCAAATCGCTGCCTTCTTTCTGTGCTTACTAACGAACAGCATTTCTTTGTTATTATATAGACACATATTACATACATATCTTGATTTAAAGTCTGTCTATTTATATACAATCTACATGAATGACTTATAATTAAGTAAATAATCTTTAATGAAATAAAAATTTATAAGCATCCGGTATAAGCTGTTAAGTTACAGGATAACTTTAAAATAAATCAATATTTATAATTTATACGCTCTAGATTTAATTATTAGTAATAATTTCTGAAGTTCTTATTTACATGAATAGTAGATGGTGTCGTAAAATGAGAAATATTGTTTTAGGAAGTAATTATATAGAAATATGATTAAAGATAGTACTTTACATTAATTATTAAATGTTTATGTTTAGAAAGGATTTAGAAAAAATAATTCAATAAAAAATTTACAGTTTGTCATTGTAACTAGAGCAATAGATCTGGATCTAGTGTTCGTCTCACTTGTTCGTACTTCGGCGTATTGACATAACGGAACACTGTAAATATTTGGTAACGTGATAATTTGACTTTTTCTACTCGTAGTAATACAACTGTTTTTATATGAGTAGTCATGTTTATGTACACCGTTAACTGTCTGATACTTTTTGTTGTCTTTACTGAATTTAATGCATTTTTTCGTAATAGTAGGTACGTTTAAATTGATCTATTATAATTAAAAATATATCTTTGTATTTTAATAGATTTAAGGGTGAACATGTCCTAAAAAAAACGAAATGGGTTTTTATAAAAAAAATATTATTTTTAAAGGAGGAGCTGCGAGCACTGCGTCCTGATGGGACGATTGTGACGGAGACGCGTCATACGAAAGAACAAGAACGACTTTGCGACGAGGAACTGTCCAAAGAGGAGGTGAATATAACGTGAATATTTGTTTAGAGTTACAAGCTTTTCTATAGCTTGCAACATGCTAAGTTTTCTATCTCTTATTTATTCTTTGCCGCTTTTTTACGGACTTAAAATACTTTGATATACATGTAAAAATTCTATTACACTAAAGTATATCTTAAATTAATCTTTAAAATATTCTTATATAGGCAAAATCTCTGGCAAGTAACGAAAGTTTGGTAGAAGAAACAGGAGGCACAGAGCGGCGCAAGCGAGTGGACCTCGAGCACTCAACAGACCATATGGCGGGTGGACTGCGTGTGGCGACACAAGTGCACTCGCGGACACGCACGGAAGAAGGTATAACTTAAACTTAAAGCAATTATTGTTTATTGATGTTGTGGGTTAAATTGATCGAAAAATTTGTTTGAGTTCCTTTTAAAGTACAATAATATCGCTATTAATCTATTTGTTCACTCAAGATAGGTAGGTAAGTATATTTGCATTTTTACACGCATATTCCATATAATTATAAATAAAAATTTGATATTTGTAATGTGTAATATGTCTTTGTTTATAATAGGTTTATTTTACTATGGGATATGAACCTACCTATTAATTGGGATGAAAATTTATAATTTTTGTGTTAAAACTAATTTTATTGTAAGCTTAGCAATTAATATTAATAATATATTGTTTTAGTTGAGAGGGAAGGGCAACCAAATATGGAGGACGATTGGGAAAGTCTATCGGTGAGAATGCGACGCCAACGCCGTTTACGCCAAAGTGGTGAGTAGCTAAACTAACTGCAGTGATCGCTATTGAACAATAGATGGCGCGCAAATAGCTGTTCTAATGCGAATTGCATAGTTCTAATTTTTATCAATAGATGGCAGTAAATTATATTTATTGCATTTTACATGAGACAATAGGCAGTGGTAGCCCAGTGGTAACGCGCTCGCTTGGGAAACCGAGTGATGCGGGTTCAAATCCCGGGTCTTGCACGTCTGACATTTTCATGTGCGAATCATTTCTAGCATAATTACCACTTGCCTTACGGTGAAGGAAAACATCGTGAGGAAACCTGCATGTCTGAGAAAACTTAATAAGTTTTCAAAAGACATGTGAAGTCGGCCAACCCGCACTTGGCCAACGTGGTGGATTACGGCCTGATCCCTCTCGTATTGAAGAGAGGCCCGTGCTCAGCAGTGGGACGTTAAAAGGGCTGAATACAATACATGAGACAATAATTCATTATTTTATATCACGGTTATGTTTTATTTGTTTTAGTTTTTAGTGTGCAATTTTAAATTGTATAATCATAATATATAATGATTCCAATTTATCGTAACAATGTTGAAACTATAACGTAATGACTCATCTACAAATATTCTTTATGTCATTGACATAAATAAATAAATAAAGAGAATAATATGATTAAGCCGTTTTCTTGTCTTACAGAGGCATTTGTTGTATGAGGTGTATGTTAATAAGTGCCCTCTGTTGACATTGTAACCTTTTAAGAAGCTAGTCGACCTTACAACGTTCCATTTGAGGACAGGAGGTTTATAGAATCACGAAAATTTGCTCAATTAGTTTCCTATGAATTAGCACATTTATGTAAGTATATACTAGCGACTCACCCTCGCTCCGCTCGGGTTAGGTCAGGTACCTTTTAACAGTTAGTATAGATTTCTCAGAGACGAGATATTTTCTCGCAGTAAAAAGTATCCAATAAGTTGACGCGGGTCACCACTTATTATCATACCAAATTTCATCAAAATCTGTCCAATGGTTTTCTCGAGATGCGTTCCCATACAGACAGACAGAAAGACAAATATTCTAAAAACTCGGCACTGTATCAATAATAATGACTATTTCAATAAGATTTTCCAAAAAATACTTATTTAATGTAAAGATTCGTCTCAGTTAGAATTTTATTAGGCACTAGCATTGCAAATATTTAGGTTTTACATATTAGTATACTCTTACAATGCAGTTTTTGTATTTTTTCTCAGAAATAAGATACTTTCCTGGGGTAAAAAGTATCCTATATATTCGGACAACCAGCTATCATCATACCAAATTTCATGATAATCCCTCCAGTGGTTTTTCCGTCATGCGGTAACAGATAAACAGACAGACAAAAATTCTAAAAACTATAGATTCGGCCTCTATATCGATAATAATGTCTATTTCAATAAGATTTTGCAAAAAATATTTAATGTACAGATTCGGCTTGGTTTCAATTTTATTATAGGAAAAGTACCAATTATGGAATACGTCCCTAATATAGAACAAGATTAAAGAACTAGCGACTTACCCTCGCTTTACTCGGTTGCAGCAGTACGTGTCTAATAGTAACCATTAAACTGCAAGTTTTTTACGAATTCAATTAAATTTATTATGATTTCTGACAGTAAGCACACTATAATGAGAATAAATAATAACGTACAGCATTCAGGGAGAATATAGCTTCCTATTAGTGAAACAATTTCCGATTCAGAGATTACTCCCCTACATACAAATTGACAAACTTCACCTCTTTATAGTATAATAATATTAGTGAAGATTTTCAAAGATCCATTTTTACCAATATATACTAATATATACTGTATTAAACTAAATAATAGACATGTATATATTGTTACATTAATAACAGACAGGTATTAGATAATCGCATATCATAGTGAGACACTTCGATATCTGCCCACTAAACCATACTCGCACCATATAAGGTAACTTGGCTGTCGCAAATTGCTTCGCATAAATTGTAATACGCAAAGCTTTGTTATTGCGAGTTATTTTATATAAGTTGGAGAACTAATAATATGATTGATTGGATATTTTGGTTTGAAGTATTCTTTGCTAAATAAAAATTATACCCAATGTAGAAAAATATAAGTAGCGACAAAATTTAAATCTCTTTTTACTTTATTCTTATGTATTATTAGCTACTCACCCTCGCTCCGCAGGTTTGTCCCTAGTTACGTTTTAACGTTTAGCTCAGAGATGACTAAATGTTGACCCGGATAACCAGCTATCATCATATTAAATTTCATCAAAATCTGTCCAGTGGTTTTTACGTCATGCGGTCACAGACAGATAGACAGACAGACAAAAATTCTAAAAACTATAGATTCGGCCTCTGTATCGATAATAATGTCTATTTCAATAAGATTTTGCAAAAAATATTTAATGTATTATGATGTTCTCCTGACCGATTCCGGCCACGGCGGCCAATCTCATTGAGACTAGCCAACTGCGCAGGAGATATTATAGTGCACAAGTGTATGCGCAGACACAAGTGCACTCTCTATTCCTGTCACTCTCATACTCTGGTGGGAAGACCACTCGACACGACCAGTGAGAGTTAAGGCGCAGGACCGACTGCTTTACGTGCTCTCCGAGTCACGGGGGTGAAACACCTCCAACTTCCCAACTCCGGGCTGTTACTGAGGCTTAATATACAGAAAGACTCAATAACTAAACTTGGCCCGACCCGGGACTCGAACCCAGGACCTCCGGGTGTGCAGCCGTACATGCTAGCCACTACACCACCGAGTCAGTTAAATGCAATGTATTATATGTATAGATTAAATCAAGACTTTGGTCTATAGCTTCTAGTTTCTACTACATATAATAATCCCATGGGCATAATATCAGATACTCTTCGTTGATGTTGCCCTTGATCTTTACAGATGGTCAGGGTTATTTAGTGTAACAAACCAACTTATCACTAACGAAATTATACATTATTTTCCTAATCCGTTATCAGTAATATAAAGTCGAAAGCATGAATTAAACCTTTAAGGAGAAGCATGTCACAATACGTTATGGGCACTTTGGCCTACTACAGCTTTTTATCAAATATGCAATCAACATTTCTTAACAATGTATGTTATAATGAGTATTTTAGGTAACAAGGATATATTTTTTGCTAAATAATTCAAACTACGATGTCCTTCCGAGTAATTTTATTTTTAAATTAACACAATCATTAGCAAGGAATGAAGCACGCAATCGATCATATTTACTCATGTAGAGAACAAATCTTCATTGTGAGGCAAGGTCGGAATATGTAACGCCATCTCACCGTCAAGCGCTCTTTGTGATAACAATACGTAATTACTAAATAAACTGTCATGTACATATTTTACTATACAAGGCAACTAAGCCCTCGCTAAGCAGTTTACTACAATATAACGTGCTTCATACTTAGTAAATATATTTACTTATGTATAAAGAAAATTATTTTTCTTAATAAAAAATGAATTGATTTTGTTAAAATGTTAACTGAAACGTCAAATTTTAGCATCTCATCCCTCAGCAGGACTAACAGCTTTTTAAAGGTACATAATTACAAAAATAACTACCACTCGTGTAGTTTAACCATTATTTCCTGTAATTTACAAAGTAAAAGATGATTGATTTAAAATTAACGAAACAAAAAAGCTACAAACGATTTAAAAAATAAACTTTCTCTTATACGCTTAACTTATACATAATAAATAATTAAACACCACAACATATTAACAAAAGTTACAAAAGATATATTCTTAACCAGACAGTTTCCTTACAATAAATAGTTTTGACGAGATGCTAAGCGTCCACTAAATTCGAGCTTTTATATCTGAGAGCTCTCGATGTTGCTTAGCAGAGAGGGGAGAACTCTAAGTAAAATTTAAAATATTAATTGTAGGGATGGTCATTAAATACATCACATTATGAGAGTACTTTTTGTAGTACTTTTTTATGTATTTTTTTTTAATATTATTTGTTGTCTAAAATCAAATATACCGTCGCACTAATATCATAAATGCAGAACTTTACGTGCTGTGTTAATTTTAGCGGATTTTTTTTTAATTAATAAGTATTAGTGAAAACAAAATAATATTTAAATTTTGATTTTTTTGTTTTAATATACCAAAAATTCGGATATTTTATTTATTTCTCTTATTGTTAGTTGTTTTACAATATTTTTTACTTAAATTATTAACAATATATGAGATACAACACTTTGTTTTGTTACAAGCTTAAAGTTTCAGAGACCTCTAAATATTAAAAACTAATGTTATACTTAAAATAAAGTAATACTTATAATAAGAAACGATTTATAGCACGACATAGCATTGTCTAGTCGTACTGTTGGACCATTACCCACAGAGTGGTCAAATTGGGCCGTGTCCATCAAGAACCGTATATGGGCAATCGTTGAGCCTACGCCGTTGAGGTCACTCTGAAACTCAATTAGAGAAGTTTGCGGCAGAATGTACCTGTCTGTATTGTTAAGTGTACGTTAACGAAAGGTGAGCTTTATACACTAACCATTTATCACTTTCTAAAGTAAAACTTTAAAGTTAAATATATGTAAGTAAATATAGATATTTTGTCTAAGCTTGTTTGTAGATTTATATCGTATTATTATAAGTTATTATTATAACATGCTCGCTTGTTTTCGCTTTTTTATTTTTTTCTATTGGTGATTCAAATATATTTTTTATAATAAAATATTTTAATGTATATGAAATAGGTTAAAATAATTAACATATACCTATCCTATTTCAATTTTAATCGCGTGTGTTAATTTTGTTATTGTGGACTTCGTAACTAAATTTCAATAGCCATGTTTATATTTTTAAGTTTTGTAATAACATACGTTTCTATTAAATATAATATGCGTAATTTAGTAAATACAAAAGACTATGACGAATTAAAATTAAATTGATACAATTATCGTTGGAACCAATTTGCCGCTTATTTTACTAATGTGACCCGGACGCTGTGTGATTCTTGCCACCAAATTTTTACACTTTTTTATGGAAAATAAGTTTAGATTTCTGTATATAAATTAAAAAAAAATTGTATCAATACATATATACGAGTACTTAGTACCATTACAGATGTAATGTACGTATAATAAAATTCTAAATGAGCCGAATCTGTACATTGAATATTTTTTGGGAAATCTTAATGAAATAGTTATTATTATAGATACAGAAGACGAATCTATACTTTTTAGAATTTTCGTCTAATATAATTTTATTTAATGGTTTCGTTTACTAATAACGGAAATGAGAGTGATTAAATACAGCGTGTCCATAATAAACTAAATTAGAATCAAAGTTTGCGTAATTCATTGATAAGTTCTCTAAAGATGCTGATTCTTGTCAAATGATGCATTTCGTAATGTTTCAAACTTGTTATCATTAATTTATTTATTGAGTAATCTATTTTTTACGTGGGAAGATATAGCTTTAACCGACTTTAAAATATGAGGAACATATAATATAGCTTCAAACATCAAACAAGATTTTTTGTGGGCTCTTTAGATTTACAAGTTTGCCCACTTTTAAAACTCCTCCATAATGGAAATAGAATCAAATGCTATAGCATTTACTATTATATATTTATTTTCAATTAATATAATTATTATTTTAATTAATATAATTGGCTATAACCAATTATATTCATTAAAATTGGCTACCATTTTTATGTTTAAATGTTAATTGTGATGAGTTTACAGAACGTCAATAGTTTTGATACAGTATTAAAAAGAGTATTGAAAAGAATAATAATAAATTCAAAGAAGTTATTTGAAAACTAATGGATAATTTAATACTGCATTAAAAATACTAAAGCCGAATAAAATTTCATTGATAAATACAATAATAACATAAATAGTTTATAAATATTAATACGGCACAATGACCTAGAAATTAAAATGCAACGTATGATATACCGCACTAGTGTCTCGTAGCAGTTGAGTAAAATGTCTCGGTGTTTGCATCTTTCATTGACCTTCAGTAGTTTGGCAAACTTATTGACTTAAAATTACGCCATAGCATGTGTGAGGATGCGAGGTGCGGCTCAGCCATCATTCCGCCGTAAAGCACGGCGTGCGCGCACGTCGCTTTTGTTACTTACGAGTACTAACGCGCTATCTTTTTGCAGATCACGAAAAAGATTACGCGAAGCGACCTATCAACTTTGACATTGAAGAAGAAACACGTAAGAAAGAAACGTCGAAGTGGTTAGAAAGTCACTTTGGCAACGAGTCCCGTTCATCGCATGACTCAATCGCTGAGGAAATTGTGCGGAGACCAGAAGCAGGATATTATGTAAAAACCAAACCGGAAGACGAAGGTTACTACGGGAAGACGACTTCATCTGTGCCGCCACCGCCTGTCTATGGAGATAGAGTGCTTCGCAAAACAAAATCATCGACTCCGTCAGACGAACGGCCAGTTGTATCGGGAAATAGGACTGGAGGATACTTCAAAGGAGTGGCAGATTGGTCTCAACGCCGCGCTAGTAAGCCTAGAATGCCGGAGCCGCGAAGCTCGTCTCCATCTCCGCCGGCTGTACGATCTCCATATGCTAGTAACGACCGCTTGAACGACTCACCCAGGCATGTTTACAACAAACGCGATTCGCCTCAAGGAAGATCGTCCCCGATCGGGCGGCGCCATCCACCTTCGCGCGACGATTCCGCCTACGTATCATCATCAACTATGCATAGCCCACCACGTGGATCACCTTTTCGTCCTTTGGAAACAGATCGCTCGTTCCGTGAACCCTCCATTGAAGATGATTATCGCCCACCTATAGCTCCCGAGCGAAAGCGGCATTCAAAACAACGCCTTTCTGAAGATCATCGTTACGATAGTGGGTACAGAAGTTCTTCTCGAAATGATAATTCAGGGAGATCGAGAGATAGTCGTGAAGAGGGTGCAACGGAGCCGCCACCTGATTATTCCCCACCGCGAGATCGTAGAGGCAGTTCAGACAGAGATAGAACCCCTCCACGACGACGAGATAAAGACGAGCGAAAACAGAATCAAAAGACAAGATTCGCTGAGGGTCCGCCTAGAAAATCTGTAGGGTCAGCTATAGGGAATTCAATAAGGAAGTTAGTGGGGAAGATTCGTTCGGCATCAGCCGAGCGACGTTCGCGGTGGCGTAATTCTCGTACACCGTCGCCGGAGCATACGCGCACGTACAAACAGTACGGAGGGGATCTAGCGCCCCCCGTCGCTCCCCCGCACCGTTACTATCTTGGTGAGGACCCCTTCGCGCCCAGCATCTACGGCCGAGAACACAAGTACGAGGGCAGTGCGAGACGAGCCGTAACTGCTGATAGCCGCGACCAACGAGAAAGGTGAGATACCAACATTTAATACATTACATATAACTTATAGATACTTAAATAATACATTGAATCCTTTAATAAAGAATTAATAATTATAATATAAATAAAAAAAAAACAAACAACACGTAGTAATTTATTAAGCGAAAAATTTAAATTTTATTTGGATTTAACAATCAAAGCTCACAACGCAAATTAAATGAAGCTATAAATTATGTTTTTACAAAAAGCGTTAATAAGCATTAAATTATTAACAAAGCCCACCTGTTTATTATCTAAACCTTAAATAGAATCTTGTCCTACAAACGATCCATGCCACCACCTACATCTAAATATACCAAGCATAAAATTTAATTATTGCTTCTTGTGTTGTTATTATCATATTATTATAGACCGAAAATTTGGAATTTCCTAATTGTTTATACTTTTTTTGTGTTTAAAAGATTCTTTTTCATTTTCTATTACATTTATAATGATTTTAAACCTCACTCAAAACAATTTTTAAATTAAATTAATTGCTTCAAATGATAGTCAAAAGTAACTCATAGTACCTAAGACTTCTAATTGGCTTTAGAAATAGCTCATAATTACTATGGCTGATAATTATTTTAATATTTAACATGAGAGAAAATTAAGTCTTCTTTCGAAGTAAGAACCAGTTTAGAAAGAAAAAAGAAAAAGATGTTTTGTCATTCTAAATCACAATACAAAGAAGTTCCTATTAATACGGAAAACACATAGATAATTGTAACGGCTATCTACTAGATTTTTTCTTGCGGTTTTTGCTTTTGTCGTATCTATTACAATTTATAATTATAGCAACGACGCAGTTGTTAGGAATTCTAAATCTAAATAATGATATTCACTACCTGTTTCTTACAATATATTTGAAATAAATAGCACATGTATGTGAGATGTAGTTTAAATAAATTTTAATCGATGAAACTATCTGGTTGACATGTACCAGTAATGAATCTTGTTGATATCCAAGAATCCGTGTGCTATGAAAATTGCCAATAGGACAAGTTTCAAATTATACTGAAGTGAATTTCGAGAAATTTAAACATTTTGCAAATACTCCAGGAACTCGCAATTTTTTATTTATCTATCTAGTAGCTTAGAAGAAGAGACGAGAGGCTAAGAACTAACACTTACATTTATTTAAAGAAGTCTGAAACAACTCTTGTTTAATAGTTTAGTACGAATTTTTCATAGGATCAAGGAAGTGACTATAATATTTACAGAGTGATACAAAAATTGACAATTGATATTTGGCTAGCATAAAAATAATCCATGTTTCTTGCCAATTTGTCCCTTGTTTTTAATCCTATCTTTTATTGAACAGATATTCTCTCTAATTAAACTCACACGTGATTTTCAGTAAAAATATTATCTAAAACAATTTGTGACAAGGCCAAATAAATTAAATTATTTATGAAGCACATGCTACAGCACAATATGACGCTTTCCTAATTATTCGTAGTACTCGAAGGAATAGCAGAAACTCATAATATCTTTTGTTATGGAAAAGCCTTATGTAAATGCGAAACAAAACATAATTTGCACACTCTCAGAACATACTTATTTTGAAATTGGTGACCAAGTTGCATACTAATTAATCTGTTTTATCCGTATTCTAAAATCGTTTAAGGAAATTGAAATTTAAACACCATTCCGTCGGACCAAAGTTATGGGGAGAAAGTCAATACTATTTTTTATCGACTAGTTTTTGCTTTTGTAACTTTTGTATTATGCAATGTGCATTTATTTAGTTAAGTATGGTTTACAAATTTATTCCTACTTCACAATAGAAGAAGATGCTTAATTTCAGTCTGTATTGCGTGTAGGAATTCACCGCTTACACATTGTAGACCGATTTTCATAATTCCTTATATAAAATTAATAGAAGCACCTCAAAGTGGTATTGTTGTAGGAAAAAAATCATCCTTTACGGTTAAAGTAGTTATGTACCTATAATATAGTAAGTCGTATTAAATTTACACAAGTTTTTATATCCATTATTAATGAATCATTTTAAAGATAATTAAAGTGTCAAAAGTAATAAATTATTTTAGGTTTCCTTTATATTTAATATGTAATAAAAACATACATTCAAAAGCCTTTTATATCAATCAAAAGTCACTTCATTTCTGTTACTTTACAATAAAGCATATACTTTCCGGTATATTTAACTTTGTAGTCGTCCATGGTTTTGCCTATTATGGGCAAAAGTTGTTCTTGGCAAAACAGCCCTTATTTAGTCTATAACGTTGAGTCAGTCGTGTGTGTTTTAAACCGTCAAGTAATATGAAGTATTTGTCGGTAATGATATGACTCATTGCAAGAATATTTCGCAAACAGGTGTAGTAGGTGTCATATGATGTAAATTAGATCAGCTAAAGAACCATTGCGCATTGTAATTACTGTTTCCTGGTTGTTTTTATCTTAGCATGTGCAAAAAAATTTCATTAGTTATATTACGCTGGCATCTTTGACTGTATGAATTCCCGAAATAATGTTGAATATTCAAGCATAATGACGTCTTTACTATACTTTTTGCTATCGGTAATGTATCTGTGTTACATGTCACGATAAATATCTTGTATAGTTCGAGAAGCAAACTGAACTGCCGGCGTTTTCGTACGTGTAAACAAAGCGCGTTGTTAATGGTGTGGGTAGAGATCCCCATTGAATCCAATTACGTTTTAAAATACAAGATTAGATGTTTTTATGATACAAGACAACAATGAATGTACGTGGGCTGGCTTGTCTTTTAATCACGATATTTCAAAAAAATCCTAACGAAAGATTCTTTATTACGTTTCAGGGGCCAGTATTCGAGTACTCTCGGTAGATACAGCCACTCTACGAGTCGGTTAAATCCGAATAGTGAAGCTGAAGAGGACTACACGCGAAGTGCTCAGACGTTGCCGCGAAAACTTCACGACCGTAAAGAAAAAGCAACAGAGAAGCCTAGCTCCAGTAAATACTGGCAACGGCTTACTTCTAACAAACGTTCTACTAGTGCCATTAATATACCCAACAACGTATCTTCGTCGCCAGATAGAAAAATAAACGGGTATCCGCCGGGCCCAGCGAAGCCCGCGCGGACCTACAAAGGTCTTAATAGAAGCAAGAGTTTTGCTATGGGAGCACCAGAACAGACGCACCCAAGATACGTCACAGGAATGAGCAGAAATTATTCTACTATGTACAAATCAAATCCTCACTTAAGTCGGCTCGATGAAACTCCCGAACAGCTGAAAAGTCCTGGTATTGTGTCGATAATAAATAGAAGCCAACGAGATCTAGCTGATGCGGTTTCTCGGGAAACTGAGCGCAGACGTGACGGATTATTTGGCGCTAGATACGGTAAGACGATAACTAATGGCCATACGAACGGCTACAATAAATCGTTCGATGAAACTGATAAAAAGAAAATATTCCTTAAAGGTCTTCGTGAGAGAGCTCCTGAACTGTACCAAACTTTACACGACGACGAGTCCGACGGTAGTAGATTATCTTCACGATACGGCACCCCGTCGCCTCATTACAAAGAGCGGATATCGGAGGAGCGTAAAATACCATTGTACAAAACTGAATCACTGAACAGGGAAACGAGTCCTTTTGTGTCACGTTTAGAAACTCGATTAAAATCGCCAGTGAACCGGCGGGAGAGTAATAGCAGTGATAATTACTCTGAAACTTACCGATATACGACGCGTTCGGGTGACCCCGAGCGGCCTAGCGTAACAGATACAGTTGAAACTGTTAGTAAAAAGGTGATCCCATCCAGAGATGGGCGGTCGAAGGAGATAATCGAGTCCAGGGAAGTTAACACAGTGACTAAGAGCAGGGGATATAAAGAACCTATTGGTAATGTTAAATACTACGAGAACGGTATTCGTAACACTAACGGGTATGAAACGAGGAACGGTAGTGTTCCGCTTTATACGGAACGGAAGAGAAGTAATTACAAGGTTTCTGAGAAAGTAAGGGATTATTAAGTAACACGTTTTAGTAAGGTTTTTATAGGAAGAGATGTGACCTGAGGACGCTAAATGAATTAATACGAATATACTCAATTAAATGTAGTAAAATAATAATAATATTCATAAAAAGTTAGTAATTGTTAAAAGAATTAACCTTAATTGCATACTTAATTTGTTTTTCATCAGTCATGATAATAATTTACATCTTTTGTTGATCCATCAATTAATTGTAACGCTCTTCCTATGGCCGGAACTAAAACCACATTTGCCATATTTCTTCATATAGCATATTAGAGTCACACAGACTGAAAGCTAATACGCATCACATGTTAAGCTACGGATAGGTTTATTTCATTAACTGCATTGGTTAACTTTTGTTGTTAATTTAATGCTAGTTGCTTCATGTAAAAAGTCATAGAGCTTTACTAATTTTATTATAGTGTGTAATCTAATTCCGTCCAAGAAAATGAAACGAGTATATTATGTAATAACGTAATAATTTTTGGATAGAATATTTTTGATAAAACGATTTAAATTGATTGTATTTTATATATAATAAGACTTTTAATAAATGTATCTATAAAATAAATTGTGTTTAAACACTATGAGTTTGTTTTATTATTTAAATAATATATTCCTGCCTGTATTATGTGTAAAATGTAATATTTGGAATAAGTAGTACATATGTTTCTAATTTACATTAAAAAATTTAAACAATAAACCATAACCAAAATATTTATTTAAAAAAAATAGTGTATTTATATTTTAATTATTTATGTTTAAAAGTATCTAACCAATTTGATACCTATCTAATATATATACATAATTATTTCACGAAGATGCATGATTTAATGTTTAATAAAGAATTATATAAATATGTTATTATTTTTATATGTTTTTATATAAAACATTTTTTTTTAAATTTTGACATTAATATTAAATTCAATATAATTTGAGAATAATTCTACTGTGAAGTCTCTAAAACCCGTGAATTAAGTGCGTGAAGGAGAAGAAATTGAAAAAAAATCAAAGAAAAGAAAATTATTATATTATTAGTTTTCAGATTTCGTAATATTTTTTATTATCTACGGAGTTACGTTTTATTTATAATATTCATTGTTTGAACTATTACAGTGTATTATCAGAATTCTCACAGTGTTTATTCAAATGTTTTGTAGACAATATTAATGTAAAGAGGAATCGACATGACATTGAATATTTTTTTCATGAACACCTTCATTAGTTTTAGTTTAATCTTGAAAGTGAAGAAATGGAAAATATAGAGCTACACAAAAAAATAAATTATGTTTTTGGCTTTTATCGGTTATGTCGAAATCGATTTAAATATTATAAGTTAAAGAAATACAGACTAAGCTTCTATCTACGTACAAACTTAAAGCGTATTACTTTATAGTATAAAATATCTTCCGCGGTATTCTTAATGTCATGCTAAGAACTCCTTCTAGTCCAATTATAAAGAGCTTTTATCAGTATTCAAAATTTAAGATATATTCGCAGCAAATTATGCTGAATTGATTCTTCGGTTTGGCCGAAAAATAATAAACAAATTCATTGTCGCCAACAGTTGCTGTTCTTGAGTTTAATTTATATTTTTCGTAAATACTGCCATCTACAGAAAAGTTTAAGTACTACCATTTAAGGAACGCTACAGGAAATTTTTAGATTGGCGAGTGTTGTATAGATGGCGCTATACATTACGAGGGACGAACAAATGAACTGTGGAACATTTCAATGGCTAGTAAGTAGTATATTTTCTTTCCCAGTCTCGATTTCGCTCATTTATTAAAATTAATGCAAAAAACTAGAATAAAATGTTTAAGTTACTTACAAAATATTTAAAGACAAAAAGCCTTCACTAGTTTTTTCTGACTTTGACCGCGCACATTCATCTGTGATCCACTATCTTCTTAGCCGACTGCGGCGAAGATTAAAAGAAAGGTTATGTGGTTGGTGTACTAACTACGTATCGTGTTCATTAATCATACATCTAAAGCCATGACGGACTGAAATGAAATTGTGGTCGAATTATACAATGAGTATCCACGTTTGTGTTCCATAATGATTACGGGTAGAACCCATTTGTTGAAGACCCTGGTTTTAAGGAGTTAGGTATGGGATCAGTGGACTGTGGAACCGATTCAAAAATAGTAGTTCTGTTATTAGTTAGCTCTGTGTAATATAGTATTAATGAGTTGTTTTTATTTCAAAATTAGAAATATTTAATGATTTTATCTAAATATTTAAATATAGTTCGTAATAATCATTTTTAGTACAACTAAAAAATTAAGCCGGTTTCAAAATAAGATTTCATTTCTTGACTTGGGAAAATTTTGTAAATATACAGCGAAATTTATCACCATTAGATTATAGACAAAATATGCAATATTCAGTAAAATGGACTTATTATGCTAATACGTAGCGATAAAAAAATTAAGATAAGTGATATCAAGCATCGCTCTTGTAATGTTCCGGTTACGCCCAATTGCTTTAAAATTTTATATGTAATGTACTTCGATACAAAAAAAACTTTAATTATAACAAAAAAGACAATAAAGTTGATCGTCACGGTACGCCCGGCAGATGTGAAATATCTATTTTAATATATATGTAAGCTTTGTGTTGACACTGACATTGACATTAGAGTGTCAGGTTTCTTTTTCCAATCGAATAATAACGTATAGTTAAATTACAAATGTTGTTTAATTATCTGTATTTACTTAAATAAAACTCTGTTTTAGATGAATCACATTGTGTTATGCTTCACGAAAAAATCCTGATATTATATATAGAATTCATAATTAATAAAAAGCTATAGCCAAATATGGAATAATATAAAGAAAAACTTGAGTTTAGTTAGGTAATAAAATCAATTTATTATAAACTTTTATTTAGTGTCATTCGACCGGGTCTGTGTAATGGAATCTCGCAAGTTAAATTTGAGCCACTTTCCAGTGCCTGGTTGAGTTGAAATTTGGCATGCTAGTTTTGGTTTCCGAGACAATGCACGATTATCTAAATGCCACTATTTTTAATCCAACATGGCAGCCGCCACAAAATGGCGATTTATAAGTAATTTCCACATTAACCTCTATGATATGGGTATCAAATGAAAGGGATTGATAAGCGAAATACGATGAGTAAAGACGGACGCCATTGTAAATCTAATATGGCGGACGTCGCAAAATGCCGATTTATCATTACAAAATTTTAATTATATAGTCACCTGTCCCTGTGTTCTAAGTTCAATATGGTGGACTCCTTGGTTTTTTATGCACCCCAATGATTTTTGGATATTAAATGAAAGGGATTGCTGAAAAAAATACGTATAAAATAAAAACTAAAAAATAAATTATTTTTGAAAAACAATTTTTAAAAACAAGCTTTTATTCAAATGCTCTAAAAAGAAGAAAATAAACTTTAAATTAAATCAAACCCACATCACAATTAATATGAGATAAAAACTTGTCACGAGATTTCCTCTGTATATAAACAAGACTATCATTATTTAAAATAAGTTGTTTTTGCTTGTGTTGTTTTTAAAAATGTTTTTTACTTATTAATTTATTTTGCTTATTATTTTAATTACAATTATAAATATAAAAGCCTAGCGATTGAGCACCCTTTGGGGTACCCGAATCACCCAAATGTATGTTACGCGATTGTTCATAGTTTTTGAGATATGATTTTTTTTCTGAATTTTTGAGAATTTTCAAACTGAACAACTTAAGAAAGTTCTAATAAAAAGTAGAAGACTTCTTCGAAATTTTTTTTGTAACTGAGTTGTATAATCAGCTTCGTAACTTTGATGGAAATTATGAAAATGTTGGTGTAAAGTGAAAAATTTACGTCTGGTGAATTATGACTTAAATTTTCAACTTTAAATTAAAAATTTAAACAGATGACTTCATGGTTCCTAAGTATGTCTCAAAACTTTTCCAGATTTTCAACTTTCATAATCATTAAAAAAAGTGGTACTTAATGGTAGGCTACTTCGTTACGTTCGTTATGTTGGCTAAAATCGGCCTTCCAAGATAGCGAGGTGAAAAATACTTAAAATTGTCCGATTACAACATTTTTTTTGCAATTTTATTATTCCAAAGGTTAATTCGTTTGTTAACTAACCAAAAATGACCGCAGGAAAGCTAAGAATTAAACATTTGGAGTTTTTTAATGTTTTATTTATGTTTCATGAATTTTGCGATTCGTTCTCGCTCACCATGGGTTGTAAACGTAGGCGCAACTCTTTTATCTGCAATAACAATGGGTCGAGAGGTTAAGAAACCGAATTACTAAAAGAAAACTTTTTAAGGCAATTAAATAATATTTAATAACAATTACTTTTTCTTGAGTCGGTTTTACTGCCAAACCACTATTGGCTTTCATTGTTTTTATTGTTTCACACCAAAAAATCGCACAAGTGCGAGTCTGTCTCGCACACCAAGGCTTCCGTAGCAGGGAACCTTAAAATGTATTGTTTTAACATACTAATTAAGGAAACGGAAAATATCGTATATCTAAAAACTACTTATTGTATCTTATGTACTATTTAAACAAGGATAAATCAAGAGATTGATTGCAGTTGTTTAAAAACATAATATTTAATATTTACATTACCTGTAGTTTTTTCTTTGAAATTGCTTATCTAAATTCCTCGATGTTTTATAAAAAAAACCTGGATACATGTCTATTACAGTTACTATTGGATCTATTAGACTCTTAAAGCTGGTTCGAAAATACTCAGTTTATAATGTTAATTTGGAATGTTTAAAAACTGAAGAGACAATGTGGAAATTTCTTTTTATGATAATTATTCTTAAATTATTATCGAAGTTACTATTTTATTAAAAGAACTTTTGTAATATAACTTAAGGCTGAACGTTTGAGCTATTTTATGAATCTAATGTAAAATTTAACCTTCATGAATTTTTTAATTGATTTAACGAAGGTTAGTGAAAAATAATCCGAATAAAAATTCAGCCCATAAAATTTACATTAAAAAGCTTTCTGAGTTTTCTTTAGAATTACGCTACAATTAACAAATTTAGTATCTCGATTAAATTTCCCTTAAAATACAAAATGGTCGGTTGAATTTTTTATCCAAGTAGCTTTGAAATATTGTGAAACTATCTATGAAAATCAAATTTCTGAGAGGGAATCGTGATATCTTCAGATCTCTTTATATAAAATTATACATATATGTATGTATATACTGGAGAGTGAGAGAGATGCTAATTTTTTATCTCATTTTTCCCCTTTTCTCTAAAAAATATTTCATGAAAATATTGTTACGTTCTATGAGTTCGGGGATCGGAAATTAAAGCACGTCTTTTGCACTATTAATGTTTTATTGCTCTTGATAAACAAGTGATTTATAGAGATTCACTAACACGCGCGGTATATACACAGTTTTGGTTAAACTCAGTCAATGAACACTACTTTTCACCACTGGATACACTTTCACTATAACTTCACTCCACTTTTCACTTTTTCGTACTTCTTTTCAGTTTTCGCTTAAATTCAAAATTTAACCGATCTCTCGACACACTGCCGGCTTTTTTATATGCATAAACAGAGAACGTTCTAGTATTCGAAAATTTGAAACCTTTCTAGTAATTTCGAAAGTTTTGTTCCTCTCTCACTCTTACATATGATAATTCATGATTAACTGTTCTTGTCTGAATCTCGAACCTTCTAGTAATTTCGATGCCACTCTGGAAATATTTTGACAACTGTCTTAGGATGTATACAGCATGCTTCAGACCTGACTTTTTATTTATTATTTTTGGTATAATGACGTTACCCACTCTCCATTGTGCGACGATATTAATCAACTTGATTTCTAATTGACAAGGGATAAGCTTTTTCTTTAAATAACGGAATACGTACGATATAGAAAAATTTAAGTTTTCATAGGGCTGTGTTCTTTGAAATATAAAACGAGGGTACCTACATTGTTTTGCGGTTGAAGACTAAACAAAATTTGTTAAAATCTGCAATAACTAGCTAGCAAGGTTAAGAGAACTGCCAAACGAAGGTCTTTTTAAAATTCTTAAATGGTCTTAAAATAAACTATTACATAATTATGTTCAATTATTTTTAATACACTATGTAATTTGCGCACAAGGATATGTAGATGTTGGTAGTTGTAAATATTCCGATAATACTCTAAATGAGAAAAAGGTTATAGGTACTCGTAGTTTGAAAACCGTTTTGAAAGTAATTTTAGTCTAAATAGAAATAAACATACAAGCAAAGTGGCAGCTAATCTATACATATAATAAAACAGTAATTTAGCGAAATCGATGTGTGCGTTTCCTTTTACTACAGGAAAATCAGAAAAACACAATAACTGGTTTTATCAAGTCGTTCTTAGAAATTTATATGTCTAATGCTAGCTAAACAATGTTAAGAGATATATCAAAACAATATACTAGCAAATTGTAGGTCTTAATAAGGCCTATACAAAATTTGCAAAAGCATAAGTTTTTATCCTAAGGTACACTCCCAGTAACTATTCATATCTATAATATCTAGGGACGCACACGAGCGAAGCGATTGTAAATCATTATATTTTATATAGAAACTGAGTCATTTTCGATAGAAAAAATAAATATAGCTGTAAAAGGAATGTACTAGAAGTAGCATCATTTTCATGAGATAACCCTTAAAAAAACATTAGAGGAAGGTTTTAAAAGGTAAACTTTTTAGTTTTTAGTATAAGAAATTAAAAAATCCAAAATCAGCCAAATTCATTCATTATAGCTGGGTTCCGAAATATAAACCGATCAGTCGAACGGTGTAATCAAGATGATGGGGAATGTATCAATGTTTTATGTTGATTGATTGATGTTACTTTCAATATAATTATTTTAACATTTTAAGTTAATTCTTTGAATCGTTTTATGTTGATTAAAAGGGTGTTAACCTGATATTATATTAGTTGATTGGGCACAACATAGACATTTGATGACATTTTCTCACAAAACATCTGCTTTAATTCTAAAGATTTCTGGAAAAGCTGACGAGGAATTTAATATTAAATTTATAATTATTGTTCTATTTTATATATGTAGGACGTAGGTATAGAATAGAAATGGTTGATGTTATGAAAATGTATCTTGAATCAGGAAAAATGAAAGATAAACAGAGACGTAATTCTGATTAGCTAATTAAGCTGAATGGGAAAACCTACGAATAAATAATATTCGTTGGGGGAAAAATAACATGTTTTGAAATGAGTCCTCCTAAATTTAACTCTTTATTACATTAGCGTGCATAATTTTAATAAGTTTAACTATCTATACTAATATTATAAAGAGCCAGAGTTTGTTTGTTTGAACGCGCTAATCTCAGGAACTACTATCCAATATGAAAAATTATTTTTGCATTAGATATCCCGTTTATTGAGGAGGGCTATAAGGTAATCATGCTAATACTCAAGGGAGCAGAAAAGTGATCATAAATGTCAACAAATCTGATGTTTTTAATATGTGTAAGTGCTTTAAGCTCAGCTTAAGCTCAGAAGCTACTAAACCCATTTCAAAAATGCATTTTGCGTAAGGCTAAAGAGTTTTTTGTTGCGCGAGCGAAGCCGCTGGTTCTACTAGTAGGAAAATAAAATGTTAAAATAATACTGTTGCAATTATAATATTTACTCGTAATTATATATCACTAGTGACTTACCCTCACTTCGTTCGTTTTCATTCCTAGATATGTTTTTTAACGGTTAGTATAGAATAGATAGGCTATATATTAGTATGATGAGTTTTATATCCCATCAAAATGCAAGAATGCAATCATTATATGGGGAATCAATAGTCCCCATAGAAAATTTCATGCCATTTTCACACCCTTAAAGGATGATTTCCGGGATAAAACTACCTATGTTATTCCTAGGGTCAAACTATCTTCGTACAAAATTTCAACAAAATCGCTCAAGCGGATATTTAGTTTATTCATTACAAACAAACATACAAAAAATCTCATTATAATAGTAAGTATAGATAAGAATAATGCTTTAGTCTACGGTCTTAGACATTATGTGTGATGACTTGCTGTATTAGATTGACAGTCTAATAATACGAGTATATGTACCTACATACATTAAAATAACAAAAAATGCAAAACAGCTCATATTTAATATAATACGATATTTGTTATGTATGTTTAACGATTTTCTCGTATGATAATATCCATTCTTTAAGATTTTGAGAGCTTTTTCAATTCTATAGCGTATTTAATATGGAACATTGGGCTGTCGACATGGTACAGAATAAAGAATATATCTTTTAAAATATAAGTACGAGAAATATTTATTTAAAATGTTACATTTTTACTTTATTTATGGATAACTTAGAATTGATAGAATAATCCGGGGCAGAGGCTGACTGCTACCGGACGCGTCCCCCGGGTGGCGGATAGGGGAAGCCACTCGCGACTGTTCCCCCAGACAGGAGCTTGTGGTACCGGAGCAATCCGGCGCGGACCAACAGCCAGGAGGGGCAGGGGGAGCGGTGTCAGGAGGGCGCCGTCTCCTTCTTGGAGGTAGCGCGGTGTCTCCGGCCGTTTCGCGGTAGGAGGCGCTGCGCGGGCCGTGCTGCCGGGGCTAGCCCGTCGGTGCGGCGGCTGGAGCGGGGCCAGTTCGGTGGTCCTGCGTCTGGCGTGGGTGTCGGCAGCCATCTTGGTCCGGAGGTGGGCCGACGGTAGGGGGGCCGCGGGGGAAGAGGAGTGTCGGTATAGCGATGCGCCGCTCGTCCCTATCTCCCGCGGCCTAGCGGGGCCACCACCGTTGATGGTGGACACGGTGGGGCTGTAGGGGAAGGGGAGTGTCGGCGTTGTCGCATCCTGTACTCCTGCAGCCGTTTGGGGTGTTTCGGTTTCGGACGCCGTGGAGGTTTGCCCAATTTGGGCGGGAAGGTTTTGTTTTTGCAGGTTGCCCACTTCGGTGGGTGGTGTTTGGTTGTGTGGGGCTGCTCCGGGTACTTCTCTGTTCAGCAGAGTGGACTTGGGAGCAGCCTCACTTCGCAGGGTTGCAAGTCTTCCCATAATGGGGTCGTCCCGCTTGGGGCGGCCTCATGGTTGGTGGCTTCGGCCAACCGTCGGGGCGTCACGGTTGTATGCGAAAGCGGTCCCGTGGCGTCCCACATGGCGGCTGTGGGGAAAGTTGGGTTTTAGTGGGTATGCCGGTCTCATTAGCCGGAGAGTCTCCACATAACCACCCTGGGGGGAAGTGGGGTGGTATCCGTAATAGGATTTCCCAACTATAAAAAAAAAAAAAAAAAAAAAAAAAAAAAAAAAAAAAAAAAAAAAAAAAGAATTGATAGAATAATAAAAACAAAGACTTTAAGGTTCACACTAACATTGGCGCTTCTTTTAATTTAAGAAACTAAATTTTCAAAAATCTCTCATTATTTCACTTGCAGATTATTACTGGTTGGGCCCTACAAAATTTACAGCTGTTAGTAGTTTACAGTTAATGTATATGTAACATACAAATACATTTACTCAAGTCCGAAAGTAATTTTTATGACGAACTAATATTCTATACTCATCTATCTAATTTCATTTAAATAAAAATAAAAAGATATAGAATAATTAAAAAGAATGCTAAATTATAAACGTAATTTTGTTATGACTTGGTTATCGGTTTAATTTAGAATTATACTATAAAATTAGAAAACAGCATCTTAAAGTGTCTAAACTGCTACTACTTTTCACGCAATGCGAACGAACACCACAAGTTAATGAAAAAGTCATTTAGTACTAAGAAGTGGCTACGTCTCACACGTGTGTGATGAGAACGTCAGTTATATTTTTGTTCACTAATGCTTTTAACTTAAGTATCTTTAATGTTAGAATATTTTTATAGAAGTAAAAAAATATAAGTGAAAATGGTGAGTTATTTTTTAAGTATTTATATTGTTGGGATCTGTCAAAATAAATATAAATTTATCATGCAGGTATGTTTAAACAATAAATAATAATATTTAAGGAATGTTAAAATAATATTAACCATTTATTAATATCCATTATTTCGGTGCAAAAATTTAATGTGTTTTTTTTCTATTTTTTCTTATTTTAATTTTGGAAAGCTTTAATTTTGTCATTTTTAAAAAAAATATTTTTAAAACTTTACTCGACGTATAAAGTTCTCTTTCATTCAAACATAGAAGTAGTTCGTGCTTGTTGAAAATGCGGAACGAAGACAGTGCTTTGTCAAAATCAAATCTAGGCATAGATTTGATAAATAAAAAAATGCCTAAGGCTTTTTTTGCACTATGATTTATAATTTTAAAAGTTATTTCATTAAATTTTAGATTGTAATCAAATCGATGACAGTATTTTTGGTTTTGTTAAATTATATGGAATGTGCAAATATTCTATATGTGACTCCATTTTCTTCACCATCCCACAACATATTATTGCGACCCATCGGTGTAGAACTGGCGCGTAGAGGGCATAATGTGACCGTAATAACTTCAATCAGAGAAAAAGCTCCACCGCCAAACTACCGTGAAGTTATGGTAGATGATCGAAAGATTTGGGACTTAATAGGTAAGTTATAACCTTTTATCACTTTATCGGCCTTTTAAATGTCCCACTGCTAGGCGCGGACCACACTGGCTAAGTGTAGGTTGGCAGGTTTCACATATCTTTCGTAAATTAGTTACTATTTCCCAGGTGGCCCTATTACTGGGACTTTCTTAACAGAAAGACTCAATAACACTTGGACCTACCCGGGGATCGAAACCAGGTCCTCCGGATGTGCAGCCGTCCATGCTAGACACTGCACCACCGAGGCAGTTACAAAATTATAGTTTTTATCTTGGTATGTAATAAATTGAACTCTAAGTTGCACAAACGGATTGGTGTAACTGGTTCCGTGAGATATACAAGTATTCAAGGTGCATTTTTTGCATGTATATTTTATGTAATAATTGTATTTATAAACTAAGTAAAGTATACCGATTTTAGTACAGATAAATATATTTTGGTTGTTATAGGTGGTGAAAGGCCGAATGTATTTAGTATGGTTGATATGTCAGCAGAAGATTTCCATCATAAAATTCTATGGGCTGGAGGCGTAGCTTATACGGAACTTACACTTAATTCGACTGATGTTAAAAATTTTTTGAAAGAAGATCACAATTTCGATTTGGTAATATCAGAACAGTTTTACCAAGAAGCTTTATATGTTTTGGCACATAAATACAATACACCGTTAGTACTTATTTCAACATTTGGTAACTGTATGAGGCACAATATCGTTAACAGGAACCCTTTACAATTATCTACAGTTGTCCCTGAATTTTTGGATCTAATGGATATTTCTAGTTTTTGGGGGAGATTGAGAAATTTGTATTTTACGACGTATGAATATTTATATTGGAGATTTGTGTATCTAAAGAAACAGGAAAAGTTGGTAAAACAATACTTGCCAGATTTAGCAGAGCCAGTGCCAAGTTTGTACAGCTTGCAAGAAAACGTTTCTTTGATGATGATCAATAGCCACTTTAGCTTTGATACTTCAGCTGCTTTGTTACCGAATATTGTTGAAATTGGCGGAATTCATTTGTCACGTAGCAATGCAAGTCTTCCTAAGGTAAGATTTTACTATATAAACATTGCCCTGGTGGTTTATGGTGGTGTCATTTGTTAGCTTAACCTGGAAAGTTTTTCAGGTAACCTATTTTTTGAGTACCAAATGACTACTTTAGCGGTAAAATACAGAGCACAGCATTGACGATATTAGTGATTCTAGTCGACAAAGCGATACTTAGTTAGTAACTTTAGTGACGTAAGCTGCTTAATCGGTTTTAAATATGTAAATGAAAATAATGTTAGATAAATACTATGTAAGTCTTTAAAATAAAAATAAATAAATATTAAAAATATTAAGTAACCCCCGACACAAAAATTAACTCTAAAAAGTAAAAAATTATGTCTGTGTCGGCTTTTTTACTTTAATAAAAGTACCTATAAAATATTTTGATGACGAGCGTCGTCACGTCGGGGGAGCACTAAGTAAATAAACTAGAATACAAATAAAAAGAAGATTGATAATGACAAAGTATTAGCGGTAGTACCTACCTATTTCATTATTTTTAAATTACTCGCGGACTAATTGTAATACATAACTCTCATTGAGATTATTCTTATGAGCTCAAACACGCTATATCTGTTGTAAGTTTCTGAGGAATTAAGCATCCCGCAGGCTATTTGATACTCCAGCATCAGCTCAAGGTCAGCAAGTTTTGGAAATACCACCAAAGCAACCGTACATCAAATTTCAAATCAATAGGAACTGTGAAAGTTAGTAAGACCCTTTTGTCAAGTAGTTTGCCCGTAAGAAGTTATACCTCTTTGGCATAACAGAACAAAGTGCGTGTTACATTTACGCGCGGTTGAAGTAAGATCCGGAGGCACAAATTCAGAATTGGGGACTTGGCCCCTAGCGGAGTGGGTGGTATTGCTGGATAAGGGACGTGATAGGGACTCGAAATGTTAAATAAATTTTTTAATACAACAAAAGATTCAAAAGTTATTGAGACTTAAAGTTACAACATTTCCATACATTTTCATATATTTCTTTACCACCATTCGGAGTGGGTGGTATTTTTAGATAGGGGAGGTGACAGAGAGTCAAAATATATTAAAAATATTTGGAGGAAACGTACGACTAAAAAGTTATTGAGACTTAAAGTTATAACATATCTAACACATTTCCATACATTTCTTTACCTAAATAAGTGATTACAACAGATAAACATACCTTTAACGAATAGTACGCATCCTTTTTTATGTACATTACACATTTTCACAACAATTAATGCTTTATTGTATTTAATATTTTAATAATTTCACAACACAAACAAAATGATCTTACATTTTGACAAAAGCAAAACTGACACTTTGTTTTATATTACCGCTTAAATGACAACAGATTATATTTGATTATTTTTGCTTTTTCTGTTGGTAAAATATTACTATTAATAAATAAATAAATAAAAAGAAAAATATTATTTTCACTTTATAAATACATTTATGACTTTTTATTTGATTTATGTAAAATATATTGTTTTACAATTGTACATTTACTAAAAAAAATCATTTTTTTATCTGTGAATATTTTTAATTATTTATTTATTATTCGTCATATCTGGGTTAGGTTAGGTTAGAACATTTAAGATTATATATTTATTATTCGTCATATCTGGGTTAGGTTAGGTTAGAACATTTAAGATTATTTATTTATTATTCCTCATATCTGGGTTAGGTTAGGTTAGAACATTTAAGATTATTTATTTATTATTCCTCATATCTGGGTTAGGTTAGGTTAGAACATTTAAGATTATTTATTTATTATTCCTCATATCTGGGTTAGGTTAGGTTAGAACATTTAAGATTATTTATTAATTATTCGTCATATCTTGGTTAGGTTAGGTTAGAACAGTTGCCACAACGCACGAGCCGAGCGAGCGAAGCGAGCGTGCCGCGGTAGCGGCCGGCGAGTGCCATAAATGACTAGAAAACTAGAAAATTCGAATTTCACGCAAAGTACAAATAAAGACAATCATCTGGAGATCATTTTGACAATTGAAAGTGACGTTTTGACTCCAAGTGTCTAAATGGTAGTAATGTCAAAATAATGTATGGAAATGTTATAACTTTAAGTCTCAATAACTTTTGACTCTTTTGTTGTATTAAAAAATTTATTTAACATTTCGACTCTCTATCACGTCCCTTATCCAGAAATACCACCCACTCCGCTAGGGCCAAGTCCCCAATTCTAAATCGCCGCCGATCCGGAAACCGTCTATTTTTAAGAGAAAAAAATAAATAAAATACAAACAGAGTTTTGTGCGAATATCTCGAAAACATAATGTTATTTTAAAAAGTGTCATGTATAAAAGTTGTAGATTTTTACTAGATTTTGTAGAAAACGTTTTTTGATAAAACGTCACAGTAAGCTGGAAATTGAAAAAAACTATTTTTAAACGCTTTGCGTCCCCCTATTTCTCGGGGGTAGCTGGGTATCGTGGGTATTTTACAAATTTCTATTCCTTATATACCTGCTAACGTTTTAAAACCATAAAATATCAGGTTTTAATTTGTTTGTTCCCAAACCGGATTCCTATTGGACTACTATGACAGATACCACAATTATATTAACAAATCAATATATCTCTTAATAAAATATTACCTATTTATATTACAAAATAAAGGTTTTTAAGAGGCGATTACAAAAATGTAATCATATAAAACTGATCAAAACTAAAAAGATGTAATTTTTTTTTATTATAAAAATTAAAAAAAACCCGACACAAAGTTAACAAAGTAAAATAGTATTATGTGGAGGCAGACATACATATATAAACGTCGCTACTCTCAGCAAAAACAAAATGTAATATATGTATAAATTCATTGTTTTTGTTGTTGACTGTTATAAAAAACACTCATCCATTCTAGTTCCATGGTAAGCTACGAGGCTTGTGTTATGGATACTAGATAGTTATGGACACTAGCAGCAAGTAGGGTCACTACAAACTGAGCCAAACGCGTCGACAATGACCTTGTCCTGTAGTTTTTTAAAAATAGTAAACGCTCATCAAATAAAGATAATCATAGGCTGTATCATGTTCATTGTTACTTATTTGTAAGCCATATTCAAACATATAATTTTTGTACCTTACACTCATGGAATAAAAATTATCCTTTAAGATTGCCAGTGAAAATTCTGATGTCAAATGACGGAATGACAGACACACAAACGATAGGAATTTTTCCATATATTAAAAAAAAACCATAGCCTTTTGCGTGTTTCTGTGTACATTAAATTATTTACTTTAAAAATATCAAAATATTCATAATAACTCAGATTTTGTAAATCAGAATCTCGGGGAATATGTCTTTCCCCGAGAGTAAAAAGACACGTAGAACGATGCATGTATTAAATATAAATGGTTAATTTTATAAAAATCCATCAGAAATTTCCACTAACTATTGAAATTATCATATAATATGTAACTAGCGACATCCTCGCTACGCTCGGATGCGCCTTTCGTATGCTTCGGTCAACAATAGTATTGTTGATCGAAGTTCGTATGTATAAAATAGGCAGCGTCAGTTCTGTCTGGAAAATTTTATTACTAATAGTACCTGGTCCACATATATGTTAGCCATAGTCTGTTTATGTACTAAAAATCCAATTCCTTCGAGCCGTTTCCACGTGAAGTTCACATTTTCACATTTCTTGACCAGTGTGACCACACTATCTGACAAGCGGGTATAAATAAGTAAGTCACTATAGATAAGTTATCCTCACTACTACTTACTACTTTATCCTCGCTTCGCTTGGTTGTGTCCTTTTAAATATTTTATAATATTACTAGTAGAAACCGCGGCTTCACTCCCTCTAAAACTATAAAAAAATCTCTAAAAACGTAGTTTCCTCCAACAATCTTCATACAAAAAATCACGCCAATCTGACACTCCTCTTCGACGTCAAAGAAAGACAAACAAACAAACAAACAAACACACTTTCACATTTATAATATTAAAGTATGGATTATGAATACAAAAGTACTTTAAAGTATCCCTTTTTTTTTAAAACCGATAAAGCAGTGTACACCGATAAAAAATGCCTTAAATTAAAGGTATTCTGAATTGTGACAGTAAACCTATATTTACCGGAATAAAAAAAAAACTTATAGTACTCGGCGGTAATGTACCTTTCTGTTAGTAAAGGATTTTTTGAATTTGATCATTAGTTTCTGAGATTACTCTATACCATAAAAAATCATCTTAACATCATATTGAATAATTATCAAAGTGTAAGTAAGATTATGTTAGCTAGCTTATAAAATTCTTTAATTATAAAAGCTTATATTAGAATATTAAATGCAACATTTGTTTAATCGGACTGGTAGTTCTAAAGATTAGCAACGTTTAAGAAAACAAGAAATCAAATACTTCAGTTTCACATACCTATTGCTGTTCTTAGTTGATCTCGCTATGGTTGTTTTCACGATACCAAAACCCAAACAACCATTAAAATCTTTGTTTGTTGGTTCAGTCTGATTGTTAATTAAAATTTAAACGGCAAGACCGGCTTTGAATGAAGGAGTTTTCTGATGAGTAAAGGACCGCGCTAAAAATATTATAAACTACTTCGAACGTCTAAGAAGCCTAAGCAAGATAGGGATTTAAGGAGAATAAAATTAGTGCACGTTTTTATAAAACCCTTTGCTGGTGTAGTTATTCGCGGAATAAAGTCTGGATGTGTAGAGTAAGTTGAGAAAATTGTATTAGCGTATAGGAAGTCAAAGAAGTTATTTATTTCTAAACTGGTCTAGTTAAGAAAAAATAATAGGGAAAATAATTGCTATATTTTTTTTTCAAGGACCTACAAAAGCTTTTGGACGAATCCACTCATGGAGTAGTATATGTGAGCTTTGGCTCAAATGCTAGGAGTTCAGAATTAGCGATAGAAAAGAAGAGGGCATTTATCAATGTTTTCAAAAAACTTAAGCAGACCGTACTTTGGAAATGGGAGGACGACAAATTTGAAGATAAACCGAATAATGTAGAAACCAGAAAATGGTTTCCTCAAAAGGAAATTCTTGGTAAGTTTAATGAATATTATATTTAATCATTTAAAATAATTCGATGAGGCAAAACAATACGAAATATGAAATTAAAGATATATTGATATTTTTGCGTTTAGTGCTGCAGTTCTCTCACTTAAGTAAAATAACAGCACATATAATTTTATACCATGAACGAATTACGTTAATTCGTTCATGTTTTATACGTATTCAGTTATTTGAAATTTGAATATTATGATGGGTCTTGCATTACGAATGATAAGTTATTTTATTAATAAGAATATTTGTGAACACACGTAGATTTTTGTATATTGAGTGAAATATCTAAAAATAAATTAAGAACGTACGAAGGAAGACGCGGGCAGGCCTTACTTATAACATAATATATATTAACTATTTTCAGCACATCCAAATATCAAAGTATTTATATCACATGGCGGTCTAATTGGAACTCAAGAAGCTGTATTTAATGGAGTACCTCTTATTGGCGTTCCAATATACGCCGATCAATACAATAACCTGTTACTAGTTCAAGAAACTGGTTTCGGGAAAATTCTCCAATATCATGAAATTAATGAAGTTACGTTGGAGAATATACTTCAAGAAATTCTAAATAACGAAACTTATGCAATAAAAGCCAAAGAAATGTCACGAACATTTAAGGATAGGCCCATGAGCGCTCTGGATACCGCAATGTTCTGGATAGAATATGTGATTAGGAACAAAGGAGCGGAATATATGAAGAATCCTGCCAGAAATATTAGCTGGATAGCATATAGCATGATTGATGCGTATATTTTCATTATCACATTATTCGTAGCTGTTATTGCAGTTTTTCTAATGTTAGTAAGAAGTGTATTGAAAGTGCTATCTCATAAACACGACTTGAAAAATGATAAAAAGCGTTTGTGACATATTGTATTAATTTTATTAATTATTATAGCAGTTCAAGTATATTTCTGTAAATTTTAAGGAAAAATCGAATGATAAATAATTTTAATATACTCTTTCATACTATAAAATTTGTGTTGATGAAAATGTTTTATTTGATATCTATATATATAATTAAAAATAACAAGTTTTCTATGTGGTCTCATATTTCTTGTCTTATTTATGTTCTCTATAGTACCTACTTAAGCAATAATTTATTTTGATTCATCGACTTAATTCACTCATAACAATAAGTAAGGGCACCACACACGTTCAAGCTACTGAACGATAAAGAAGTACCAAGGCATATGTAAGTACATAATAAAATAATAATCTGCTTAAAACTCGTTTAAAACGTGTAAATTAGTCTAAAGGTGGAAAATTTTAAATTTAACTATGGTGGACTGTTTAGGGGTTTCAAAATGAAACTCCTGTTGGTTGATTCTTCCTTAGCTTTTCTTGCTAGTTGCCTTTTCTATGGCCATCCGACGAATGGTGCTGAGTGAGAAAAACCTCGGTTTTTTATTTAATTAACAACCTTATTAGATAAGCTCCTGTGAGTCTAAATTCTTATTGTATTGAACATTAAAGGCACGGGACTTAAGCTAGATTCTGCCGTCGCGTAGACTCGTCGTCCGTAACATACATCATCAATTTAAATATCATAATATTGTATATAAGTTTTTTATAAGTCTACATTAATTTTAGTCTGTCTGACTGTTATTCTACATTTAAATAGACAACATTTTTATCTGTACAGATTAAAAAATAAAATTGTCTGGAAGTTTGTAAAATAAGTTTATACATCGGACTAGTGATGTAGATTCCACCGATTTGATCAGCATTGAAACGTTTTAAAATTAAATTCGTTTATCATAACACATTTTGCGGTAATTAAAAAAGATTATATTAGAATATAAATATTGAATAGGTTGTATAATTAATGTGAAATGGAACGCTTTGATGTATATACGGGTTAAATGTTTAGTTTTTTTTTCTGGAAATAATAGTGTTTTTGAAAATAATTAATTTCATTTAAAAGTAGAATTAAAAAGAAATAGAATAATAATTTTGAATGCTAAATTAAAAACATATCTTTGTTATAACTTGGTTATCGGTTTAGTTTAGAATTATACTATAAAGTTAGATAACAGCATCTTGAAGCGTCTAAACTGCTGATATTTTTCATTGAATGTGAAGTGTGAACGAAGGCCACAAGTAAATAAAAAGTCATTGAGTACTAGGAAGTGGCTACGTCTCACTCGTGTGTGTTGAAAACGGTAGTTGTATGTTAATATAGTTTTTAATGTTTTTATGTAAAATATCTTTAACGTAAAATATTAATATATTAAGTAAAAAAGGATAAGTGAAAATGGTGAGTTATTTTTGTAAGTGTTTAAATTATTGGGATTTGTCAAAATAAATGTATCATGTAGGTAGGTATGGATAAATATTAATATTTAGGGTATAATAAAATAATAGTAGCAATCTATTAATATCTATTATTTCGATCCAAGAAGTGTGTAATTTCTTTGTAAATAGTAAATATTTGTATTTATCAAATAGTGCAACAACATTTAATGTTTTTAATTTTTATAATTTTAATTTTCGAAGGTTAGAATTTTTTCATTTCCAATTTTTTTTAAATTAACTCTTTTACAAAACCTAGTGACATACTAAGTTCTCTTTCATTCACCAAAATATATGTAAGTAGGTCGTGCTTGTTGAAAATGCGGAACGAAGACAGTGTTTTGTCAAAATCAAATCTAGGCAAAGATTTGATAAGTCAAAAATTGCCTAAGACTTTTTGCACGCGACCTTGCAAAATTTAGGTCAGTCAGATATGACAAACATTTATAATATTATGCTTATAAATTAATAATAATTAATATGGTAAGATATTAAAGTCGAAGTAATACATCATTGTACATTTTAAATAAGATTTATTTAAAACTTATTTCATTAAATTTTAGATTGACATCAAATCGCTGACAGTCTTTTTTGTTTTGTTAAATTATATGGAATGTGCAAATATTCTCTATGTGATTCCGTTTTCTACACCATCCCACTACATATCATTGCGACCCATCGGTGTAGAACTGGCGCGTAGAGGGCATAATGTGACCGTAATAACTTCAATCAGAGAAAAAGCTCCACCGCCAAACTACCGTGAAGTTATGGTAGATGATCGAAAGATTTGGGACTTATTAGGTAACTTACAACTTTTTATCAATTTATCAGCCCTTTTTAATGTCCCACTACTAGGCGCGGACCATATTGGCCAAACGCAGGTTGGCAGGTTTCACATATCTTTCACAAACTAATTACGTTTTCCCAGTTGTCCCTGTTATTCGGACTTCCTTAACAGAACGACTCCTTAACACTTGGCCCGATCCGGGGATCGAACCCAGGACTTCCGGATGTACAACCGTACATGCTAGCCACTGCACCACCGAGGCAGTTACAAAATTTTAATTTTTGTTAAGATGGGAAGTTCTGTGAGATATACGAGTATTCAAGGTTAATTTTTTGCACGTATGTTTTATGTAATAATTGTATTTATAAACTAAGTAAATTATATCGTTTTCAGTACAGATAAATATATTTTGGTTATTATAGGTGGTGAAAGGCCGAATGTATTTAGTATGGTTGATATGTCAGCAGAAGATTTCCATCATAAAATTCTATGGGCTGGAGGCGTAGCTTACACAGAACTCACACTAAATTCGATTGATGTTAAGAAATTTTTGAAAGAAGATCACAATTTCGATTTGGTAATATCAGAACAGTTTTTCCAAGAAGCTTTATATATTTTGTCACATAAATACAATACACCTTTAGTACTTATTTCAACATTTGGTAACTGTATGAGGCACAATATAATTAACAGGAACCCTTTACAATTATCTACAGTAGTCCCTGAATTTTTGGATCTAATGAATATTTCTAGTTTTTGGGGGAGATTGAGAAATTTGTATTTTACGACGTATGAATATTTATGGTGGAGATTTGTGTATCTAAAGGAACAGGAAAAGTTGGTGAAACAATACTTGCCAGATTTAGTAGAGCCAGTGCCAAGTTTGTACAGCTTGCAAGAAAACGTTTCTTTGATGATGATCAATAGCCACTTTAGCTTTGATACTCCAGCTGCTTTGTTACCAAATATTGTTGAAATTGGCGGAATTCATTTGTCGCGTAGCAATACAAGTCTTCCTAAGGTAAGATTTTACTATATAAACATTGTTTTAGTGGTTCATAGTGGTGTCATTTGTTAGCTTAACCTGGAAAGTTTTTAGGTATCCTATTTTTTGAGTACCAAATTACTACTTTAGCAGTAAGATAGAGAGCAAAGCATTGACGATATTAGTGAGTCTAGTCGACATACGCTACTCAGTTACGAGCTTTAGTGACATAATCTTGGGTTCCATATCGCTGAATATTGTGTTGATTTTACTAATATATTTACACGCTAAAATATTTTTTTACGTTCTTACAATACATCTTTTTATTCCGTTACGTTGTGTTGCATTTCATATTATTTTTTGAAGGTATTATGGAAAAGAAATTCAATTTTAGTGATCGTAACTCAAAATACCCTGTAATGCTGAATGCCATTCTTATTTTGCTAAGCTTTCTGGCCGCGGCTACGCTCGCGTTGACTAAAGAATTTGCTTAGTTTTAATATCCGTTCAATTTATATGCTGCCATATCGATTGGCGGTCAGTGTTACACGTTCACAAAGCCAAGTAAAACTTCGTTTGTATATTAGAAACATCATTATACACTCTAGCTAGGTTCTCTGGTTCTCCTCCTCTCTAGGTTAATATACAGTTGTGACTGCTGTGGTCAGCCGAGAAGTTATACATTATTTTCCTTTGAATTTGAAATAATCTCTGTTCTCTATTCCAAATCCCACACAGTAAGTGTGCACATTCAGAGAACTTGAGGTATGTTACTCTGTTCAAATAAATTTCGTACGGGGATTTCAAATCGGGTTCTCACCCGAACTTGAACAGAAGTTTAAATGCAGCGTAAGCTATTTTACCACCATTTAAAAGTTTAGTAGCTATTCCAGTTAAGGCCACAACATATGCAATCTCCCAATTACTTCTTAATTTGGCCAAAATCAATTTTCATAAAAAAAAACCTATTTAAGTAGGTACATCAGTAGCATTTTTTTAACTCAGTTGACTGACGACCCTGATAACATTTTACCCTCTCAGAGAACGAGCTTCGAATAATCAAGATTGATAGCACGTATTTTTTATTTTTTATCTTGAACACTTAATTTTAACAATAAAATGGCGGATTTTCTTACCAACTTTACAACCTATTTTTACTACCATATGGGATAAATTACTAGAAATGTTAAAACACGTGCTTATTTAATTAATTGAATTGAAGATAATTTATACCAAATTTCAAGTAATTTTGCACATAAAAAAACATCCATTTAAATATTGTATGTAAGCATTCCAGTCCCCTTTTACTCTTTTAAGGAATTTTCGCATTAATCTGATATACGTATTATTATATTTTTTTAAAAGGTAAATACCACATTCTGCACATTTCACCTAAAAAAATTACAGAGTTTCATACAAACTTTCATGCCCTATTTTGGATAATTGTGGAATTAATTTCGAAAAATGCTAAAACACGTACTTATTAAATATCATTAACACCAAGTTTCAAGTTATTCTGATCAAAAATATTTTTTACCGCCTTTTACCCCTTTAAGAGATCTTATCGGATGCTTACATCCTATAAGGAATATATCCTCCAAATTTCACATTTCTACGACAAGCGATTTAGGCTGTCGTTGATCCATCAGTCAGTGAGTCAGTCAGGACGAAGCCTTGTATATATTGTATAAGCCTACAATATATAGACAAAGACTAGACTACTTTCAAGTTATTCACACTATTTCACTGGAAACACAGGAAATGTTTCTTTTATTGACAGAAATTGAAAAACACTCA